TACGTTGTTAATGTTTATTGTAGAATCAGCGTCGAATTCTCTATTGAATGAGAAAGGTCTCCCCATTTGCACAACATCTGACTGTAAAGTGTGAGACGATGCCAATGAAATACCCAAATTCAGTCAATTATAAGTTAGATTGAGGGTGAGGGCGGGAGCTTTTAGAAAAATAAAATCATAGCCATTAAAGAGATAGAAAAGAGAAAAGAAAAAATAGCAATTAACAAAATTTAAATTGCAAATATATGAGTGATGCCATCGCAGGAGCAACATAATTTTCAAAATAAAAGTTTGCATTTAATCATCAGTTATCTGTTTGATACGCCTGGGGTAGACTAAATTGCGGAAAGTCATTACAACCAGTAACTTCACTACACTCCTAGATTATGTCATATCATTTTGTTATTTGTCTCGGTGGAGTACCTGGGAAATGGCGAATTTTCCAGAATGTTGTAACATTCTTCATTTTGCACATATCGAAGTGCAAAAATATGATAAAATTTTAATTTCTTTTTTAGAAGATGTGTCACTCAATTCTCTACAGAGAACATATGGTGCATTTTTCTATACAAGTTAAAAATAAGAGGCGATGATGAAATACTACGATTTTGGCGAACAAATTAATTTTGACAGGTTCGCCATACATGTAAGTTGAATAAAGGATATGTTCCCGAGCTTCTGGGTATCATCTTTCTTTTGGTTTATCATAGGTTGACTTTAAAGGTGTTTTTCCATCAGAAAAAGCGATTTTATCATGACTCATCTATAAGTAAGAAAATATGATTCTTTCATGCTAGCGCAGTAGAAGGGGCGGAACTATAGGCCGTTCGGCTGTGAAAACAGAGTTATTCTCCAAATCTTGCTAGTAATTACAGTTTCTCGAGTATTACAAAATAGCTGTCACCTCGTTTTGCATGTACAAACCGAAAGGAACTAAATTGAAAAACTGTGTTTTGGACTAGGAGGTACTTCGAGATTGCATATTTGCAATATTTTCTGCATAGTTTGTTATTTACAAGTTGTGTAGAAAAAGGTTCAATGTGCTTTTGTAATCGAAGTTCTTGTTTCGTTACTCGCTAGCAAACAGATTTTCTTTCTTTGACGATCTACTATGTATAACAATAAATCTTTGATGGAGTATGACAAAACGAACTGAAAAGTGGTTAGTACTCGGACCAGTCATACAACTTTTGATTTGCGCCTTTTACCAAAATTCATTAAAATGTTTGGTCTACAAGAGCCCTCTACTTTGGAAAAGTTGTGAGAACATCGATTGAGGAACGTTGGTCGTGGCTTACTACTCTACTCCTTTTAATCCCTTTACTCTCTTTAGTCCCTTTACTTCGGGTCTAAAGAGAGTAAAAGGAGATAACATATGTCAGTGCTCTTGCAGCTTAGACAGCAGCAAAGTAACACGAGATAAATTTAATGTCTCGTGGACCCTTCCGCTATGGGCAACCAGGTGGACATTAGGTAAAAAATCGAAAGTGCACTTTTGCAAGATTGAATTAGTGCTAGATTTACTTCGGACTATGGACTACTTAATGGCATTTAAAATTTTACTACAAAGTTCAAGTAGAGTGGAAAATGAGCTAATTGAAAATAATTAAAAATCAGCCTGAAAATAGCGCCATCTATATAACACACATTTTTTTTTACAAAATACACTGACGTGACAACCAAAACAATATATATTATAAATTTGCCTAATGTCCGCTACCGATTTATAAAACAAAAAGTGGTCAATTACTACTGAAGATTTCTGCGAAAAAAAAATTCTTTTTTTCTGCAGGGCTTTTCTAAACGGCTATATTAGTAAAATGATCGCCCCCTCCAGCCTCCAAATTGAAACTTATTCAAACTTTGCCAGAATGTTCACCCATATGTCCGCTCTCACCATAGTTAGCGCAAAATAGCGCAAATGATCCTGGACTGAGTTATAGGTTTTCCAGAAAACCGTGGGCTTTTGACGTAATTTCAAGTTTTCTCCTTTAGGAAGCATGTATATTGAAAAATAATGATATATTCGGGATCAGCGCAAAAATCTGCATCGAATGGTATATAATTTACCATAAACGTTTTTTTGTAGAAAAATGCTTTGATCAAAGGAGCATTAAAATGGAGCATAAAAATGAATTTTGCATGGGTATTTGGATATTCATTTTAGCAGCGGGGTGAAAGTCGATAAACACGTTTTTTTATAGGTTTCGAATATGCTCTTTCCAATGGTGAGATTTTCGACATCTAAAAATATTTTGGGAGGGGAAGGGGGTTCTGGAGATCCGGTCTTTCGAAAACCCAGAAACAACTATTTATGGATGTCAAGGATCTCACCATTGGAAAGAGCATATTCGAAAACCTATAAAAAAACGTGTTTATCGACTTTCGTCCCACTTCTACAGCATGTGTCCACATGCCTAGTCAAAATTGTCCACTGTGCCTTCCTAATGTAGAGACCTGCAACCCGGCCCGAACCCGATCCAAACCCAACCCTACCCTCGGTTTCGGGTTAAGATGCTGTCGTGTCGGGTTCGGGTTAAACGTTGTGCGGCGTAATTTAAAATATAGATAATAATTTCAATTTTGTATTAATCGTTGAAAGGTTAACGCTACTGGAATTTTCGGTTGAAATACTTATTTCAGAGCAACTGCATTCGCTAACGAGGTAAGGTCTTCAGATACTCAACTACGTTTTTAATGATATTACGCTAGTTAATAGAGGAAAGTAACGAGATAAAAATCCTCAAAGGAGTACCCATGTCAGTTCTTTCAAAAGACTATTAGCAGAAGGTTACTCACCTGAAATGCGATGCCCTCCACCAAATAAGTAGGTAAATAAAAAAACAAAACAAAAGAGTAAAAATTTATCGGGTCGGGTCAGGTTCGGGTTAGATGTTGTCGGATCGGGGCGGGCTAGTCTTATGTGGTTTTGGTAGAAAATATAGATATTGAACTGAATATAGTCAGAGAATAAGAATTAGAGAAACAAAGGACGTTCGTTTCTGAACATACGTGTATATATTAACCGTTCAGTTATTGCTTTCCTGTCTTCACTTCACTTCAAAATTTTTTATTATATTGTTGAAGATGAGCCTCTCTAAATTTCTATTGGTCACAGCGGTAAAATTGCCATTCAAGATCTTTACTAAAATATAGTTTTATTTCTTTCCGTCTACTTTTTAGCGTGGAACCGTACACAAAGCTATACGTGATGCTAAAGAAGATATATAACGTACAATGGATGATAATACTAAAACTAATGCAGAAAAGAAACGTCTGATTACTGAATTGGTTAATGAAGTAGAAGAATTCTCAACTCAGTTAGGTCACATGCAGCAATATGATCGATAAATTTGAAAAAACTTTGCATTAGCAAAACATTCGTATGTGACGTTCCTTCTTTTCTTGTCATTCTGTCTCAGTGTTTCTCAATGTTTTCATTAAAATAAAAACAGCTGTTGGATAAACACATCCCCTGATAAAACGCAGAAACTAATTGCAAGTGCGAATAAGTGCCTAAATAGTGTTTTCTACTAGCCAGGATATTAAACTTTGAATAGCAGTCTCTGAGCAGTTCAACATTTGATGTGAAGGACATCTCTTCATTTGGTGTCAGATCCTTTTTTATATAAAAATCTTTAAGAATGCATTTATGAGATAGTCTATTTTAATGAGGTAATCAGATATTCAATTGATAGCAAATTCTTTAATAAAACATTTAAATCATATTGAGAACGTAACTTTATTTTTCATGTTTTAATAGAACATGGTCGGATAGTACTAGCGTGGATGGTGAAGTAAACATCATTGAACATTAATGTCTGTAGCTGACGATCGACTGAAATAAATTTGACAATATCTCATTTGATAGCTCTTGCTCACATGGTTGATTATCAAAATACATTTTTAAACTGCATAGTTCTTTAACCCTTTCAGAACCGGTTTAATTTTTATATATACAGTGCTGTTCAAAAGTTTAAGACCTTTTTTATTTTGCAATATCTCCCGAAATTTTCGGAAAAACTTAGATTTCTAACTCAGAACTAAATCTTATTCAAATGTATTATACATCAAAAGATAGAGCGTCAAAAACTGCATAAGATGATGTATTTGAAATTTGATTACGATCGAATTTTGAGGGTCGTTTCTTCAAAAGAAAGTTTTCGAAAACACGGCTTATTCCGATTTTTGACGTGGGAAATATATATCCCACCGGGAGTGAAAGGGTTAAATGACTCTAGATAAGATAAATATTTCCCATTTGCTTGAACGATCTCTGTTATTCTGTGTTAGAGCATGCTGTTGATAATGGAAGGATACGGTAAATTATTGGTGGACCACCAGAAGGGCAATTGCTCCTCCTGGAAAAAATATCAAGGGCCTCTGAAGAATTATAAGGACCCCATGACATCCACTGGCTAAAAAAATACATCACCAAACCCACTATTTATCAAAATTAAAAGATGCCACCCTATAATTAAAAAGTAAATACCAAACACCAATTGGAAATCTGATTACCCGTTTAAATCAATTATTATTCCGAGTAATAAAATGAGTTCAAGTAATAGCTACACCAGAAGATAATAAAATTAAAGTATTTAATAATGGTGCTCTAAATGCGTCTATTCTAGTAATACCGTTAGGCGGCCAAACTCAACCTAATTCAAGATGCACCAAAAACACAAAATTAAAATAACATCAAAAAAATGAAACAAAAACATAATTTCAGATAAAATAAACACAACCGTTCCAATCCTGAAGAACTTATCATTAAACATTTCTACACGATCAGAACAATCGCATTTTGTGCGCAAAAAACATATATTCTTCTCCACTCATCTTTTCGGTAGTTAAACAGTTCTGATCAGAGATCTATCTATGCTTCGACTGTAGCATGCCGTTGAAAAGAGTTTAAAGGTTTATTTTTCCTTCGCAAAGGTGCTTTGCTCATTGTATGTAACTTTTTGAAATTACAAAATGTCTCGGTTAAATGAAAAACTTTATTTTTTAGCGTTTTTATCAACAGCTGTCTCTTTCTTCTTATCTTGATCCACCAAAGGTGCACGCAATTTTCTTAATTGGTCCATTATTTCTTCTTGTTGCGTTTTATTGTCAATCAAACCCCGAAACCATGAACGTTTACCAGCTTTGAAGCTTCTTAGAATGTTGCATAATGCATCGAAATCTACCTGTGGCATTTTCATCATTGTATGATGCGGATAAAACGGTGTAGCTTCTTTCAATATAACTGATTCAAATACTCGACGTCGACTTGTACGTGCTTTTCGTTGCAAATAGCGCACAAGTGATTCATCCTTGTCACATTCAGCTATGTTTGGAAAGGATGTATACGTAACGGTTTCTACCTCTTTTACCATAGGCAAATCC